CCAATTTAATCTGATTTCTATCAAATTCGAAATCAGCAAACAGAAATAACGCATGGGAATCGTTGTCCAGAAAACCTGAACGGAAAATGGAAATCAGTTGAGAGTATGCAAAACCAAGTTTGGAACAGTTCATGCGAACAAAATCACTGAACGTTTGAACGTGTAATGCAGTGATGGACCTAAAAATTCCCTCTGATGAGTTGGCAGGATCAACGGACTGAATGCAACCGTGAAGGTGCATAGATAATGATGAACATTTTCATCGGTCATGGTTTTTGAATACCCAAGGAATGGATCTATCCAATTAATGAAGTTTACGTACGACAAAGATCAGAGCCGAAAACAACCAATGATACGTAGCGGGAAGGAACGATAAATGTGCAGCTGAATGTATGAAGCCCCTATATGAGGATGGCTGCGGGAAATGTTGATGACACCGTGGGATGCATCATTTTACAATTCACGAAAACAGTTCGATACAATAGGTTTACGGTACAATACAGATTTAATGTTTTTCATGTTGTTTATTTTGACTCGAAAGTAAGCATACCATTTGAATCTAACTACATTTATAACTTGGACTAATGAATAGCTTTCTGACTTGTTCATATCTTAGTGCTGCGTGGAAATGTTTGCAAAGATGTGTCTGTTCTTTGATTATTCGACTAGTGCAACGTCAATAAATTATGATCGTTTATATTTGATTAGTAATCAAATAATCTTCTTCCCATGTTTGACTTATTTTCCTGCAAATTCAAATCATTCTTGCAATCTTCTTTTCAACCTTGATCAACTGACATTGGAAATTCCGTCTTCAGCGCTAGTTCATCACCTCTTTTATTTATGCGCTATCGAATACACCTTGTTCTTGACGGCTTCTGAACCGTGCATGAAATTCCTATTGATTCTGATGAGGGAACAATGCTTTAATCTTAAAGCATTTATAATAGTGGCAATGGACGAATGGAACTCGATTAGGTTTCTGCCATTTTCACAAGCAACTTTAACCATGCAGCGCTATCATGTTGTTGCGAGTTCTCCGTTCTCCGAAGGGCATACTTAATAGCAATCGAGCTGGAATTACGTATCTGCACACATACCTCCGCGTACTTACGGGTCAACAATTAACGCATAAATCATATGTGAATTAGCGCTATCCAAGCCAAATCTCATCTCATCATAAAATCCATTCTCCGCATTACACGTTTTTTCCCTTATTGTTGTCGTCAGAAGTGTTCATTAGAATGCATAGGACCCTAAAATTATTCATGAAATACTTGTCGTTGGTATCAGTTCACGTTCATGCAATTTGTTACTTCATAACGTAGGACGTCTCAAGTGTGCAAATTTTTGATGAATTCTGTACTCTTCACTTCTTTAATTGTTGAAATCCGCTCATATTTGGTAATAATTATTTGTTTCTCGTTAACCGTTATGAAACATCTTACAACGAAATACATTTGCTAATTACATCTATTTACAGCCGCCAAAGCGGAACATAAGCTGAGATCTTCATACGAACATTTTGAATATGTCAATCACCACCAACGTTGTTGGTGAATTCACCCAATCGGTCTAGATCGACTTCACTCCGAATTGCAATCCATCCCATCCTTCATTCTCAAGATTAAATAGAACTTTTATCGCTACCAACACTTCAGTGACGCCAAAGCGAAGGCGGTTTCAAATTCGAATTCCAAATCATCGAAGCGGCGCAGCTCTTAAATCAGACATATTACGTCAATTTCAAGTCATTCTGACCTTCTCTCCTTCCTTACATTTCCTTCGGAACATTCGTTTGAGTACTGAATATTATGATCAATTTGAACTTTTCACACAAAAAACACCATGAGGTCTGTCCGCTTTACGTTGGAACAAGTAGCCGAGAACAATGAAAATACTGAATACATCCTAACTGAAATCATAAACAAGCGTATTTCACCGTTCGTTAAAGTTATTTTGGAGATTGCCACATAAATCCAGATGTTTATAAAACTACTATCTACCGGTAAAGATTTTGAAAACTGCTATCTCACTCGAAGAGTTATGTTGTTTCCGATATTGCTCATCAGGAGGAAACGTCCCTTCTTGGTCTGTCACAAGTTGATCAAGTTCTTTGATTGTTAGGATCTGAAGGATGAAATGGCCTGTACCTTTATTATCATAACCTTCAAAGTTAACATACCACACAGCCACCAGCAAATTTAAAACAGTAATTAGAAACTGAAAGAAATATACATAAGTTGAAGCAGCAACCTCAAACCGACATTCAGTACTTTCGGAATCAGCATTCCTAGGACGAAGTATCACACTGAACCTGCGCGGTCTACTCGCCATAGAAGAACGCTGAGCACTTGTCACTATTTCTTCACTACTCTTAATTGATTCTTTTAGAGATTCAATGCTGAAAAGAGGAAGAATGGAATACGACATGTGCCTATGTGAAATTATCAGCTCGCTTTCAGTCTAGCCAAAAATGAAAAAGATTCGAACTATGAAAGAAACGAGCTCAATACCAGACTGGTGCTATGTGTTGATGTGATAAAACAAAATCTATCAGATGACACCATAAGACATTTGCAATTCGTATAAGTACCATATATTAGTGATGACAATCGACCTAAGACCGGTCGGTAAAATCAGACGAATTTCAGCTGGATTCCGAAATTCGGATTACGACCAAAAACCCTGGAAGTTGGCCGATGAATCAAATTTCGGAATCCTGTAAAGTCGATCCGATCGGATTCCGACCGACCTGAATTTTCGTTCTGTTACTACCACCACTATATACGTTGTTCACGCGATCAATTTGAAAGATACTCAAAATAACTTATAAATGAAACCAACGTCTTCAAATTGGTGAACATCATTTCTATCATTACGACGAACGTGTAAAGGATCTTTTCCTCCTCACCGATTATGACAGCAAATGTTTTCAGGAGTAATTTGAATGTATCACTAAATGCCCTACTTGCAGTTCGCATCAGAATGTCCACAGCTGAAACGCGTCATAACGCTTCACATTTAACAACAACTGAATCATTTCATTTATACTTACTAATTTATTCAGCTATCAATACTCATTAATAAAAAAACATCTTTAATAACATCACAATTACTACAACTTTTATCCATTCTTCCATCTCGTGCTCGAGCTTTCCTTTTCTGCACTATTGCTTCATAACATACTCTTTCTGTTGATCTTACGCACAAGATCCGTANCTGACGCATATGGAACAAAACGTCGATAATAATCTAGATAATAAGAGATGTTGTATTGTAATATTGTAACGTTGTATTGTAATAAGAGAAGTTGTAATTGTAATAAAGTCGAAAAATGCATGAACCTTTCGAATAGATTAGAGGCTCGTATTTAGTCGAACCAGGTTTCTGCCATTTCAACAAATATTTCGAGTACAACGGTCGAGGATAACCCTATAAATGGAGTGCTCATTTCCAAATTTATAGAACATATGGAATTCAACAATTTCGAGTAAAACAAATATTTCGAGTGTTTTTCCGTGATAGATTTGAAATGAAAATTGTTCATCTTTGAAATTAAATCGGTTGATTCGTATGTCAGCGATATGTTACCAGGCTCTTCTACTTACGTAATGTAAATAAATAAATGAATAAATAAAAAATAAACGAATCAATTGAGTAAATATATAAATCACATTAAAAATCCAATGAACCTTACAATGTAATCACTGGAACATGGAAATAAATCTCGCCATCTTCTTGTTTGCCCTTGACTTTCACCATGAGCCTCAAAAGTGAGCAAATCAGTGCAGGGAAGAAACAAAATCACAGTGTGGGTGAATAGTGACCCAAGGAACAATTATTTTTTTATTAAATAATCGATTGGATGCAATTTACTGTAGGAGGTATGGGTGATATACTCGACCGAGAAAAAGATTGTGGCATTGTATAACGACAATGAAACCTCACTCTGAATCGATAAAATATCATCTAGCCCATCACTTTGAACGAACTGAAGCACTGAATAGATGAAATTCCTATTCATAAATAAGACACAGATGCAATATTGCATAATATATTACTTTGCATTAACTCTGAAGCCACCACGATAGAGACTGTGAACCAATACTGGACCCATTTTCATGAACGATCGAAACAAACTCATATCTATGAATTCCGGCTGTGAAAGGGAGGGGGGAGCAACATCAGACGTGATCTCTCGAAGTGGGCATAATCTAGTTTTCTAAAGAAGCCGAAATCACTTGGGGACGAAGGAACCACCTCATTCCCCTCTTTAAATAAGGGTATGATGGTTTTTCGGGGCTTACATTATTGCAAACATTCCGAAAACTTTGGACCATTTTCTACGGTTTATTTTCGAAGAAACTGACTCGCAACGTGGTACTTTAAGATAGAACGTGATCCAAACGCATAGTTTACTACATTGTTAACGAGCTATAGTTCAAACTCAAACTAAATCTGTGAACTGCTCGTATCTGATCCTACTTTTTCGCAGCACACTCATTAATCGTCATATTGCGCAAGTGACAGTGTCTCTTTCTATGATTAGCTAAGGCCTATCGCTCGATAAGTTTGCTCATTGCACCGTTATGATAGAGTTTTACATACCCCTTCCTTCATTTTTCTTTGTGAATGATGGTTGGTACATTCCTCAGCAGGTTTATAATTCATCGAGCTCGTTGTAAACGATTTCAAGAACACATTGGCATCATACCTAAAAAAATGTATGATGAAAACTAATTCTCGTAAGGAAGATCGATATGATAAGTAAATTTGACAAAAAAAAAACCAACCGGTCTATAGCTGACAACTCTTCGCTGACGATATCACCTGTTTGTTCGGCCATTATTTCCTCACGAAGCTTCTGGTTTGCGATGGCTTGATAGCGCAGTGGTGCTATAATTTGATAATATAATAACAACACCAGAATAACCGACTGGGTATAAACCCGATGGTTGTATTCCGTTCATTCCTTCAAATCAATAATTATCTGAATGTTTTTTTTATTCTTTCATAATTGCGAAGCATCAAGTAACGATCAATAAGCAAGTACCACTAAAATGATTACCACTACCGTGAATGATAGCAATAGTGGCAGCGTTATTATCAACGTTCAATATTTGCTATGAAGCAAACCATTTCGAAAAATCAGTTGAGAAGTAGTACGCCAACGATCAGAAGATTTAGAAGATAAAGATTCGGATGAACGAATTTTCAACAAACCTAGAAGTGCTTCCTTGTGCAGCTGCTCAGCTGGTCTTGGTTCAATGTCATCCGCGAAGGTCGTATAGAAGGCAAATTCTTTCGATTCTTTAACAATGTAATTCGGTACACAATCCTGAAACGTTAAACATCACTTTCATTGCTCATTTGCATTGTTTTTTGCCTAAGCAACAGCATTTCTTATGCTGGAAGACTATTCATCCTTTTGATCCTTGTACGGATCATTCGTTTAAAGTTTACGCGTATAGACAAATTATAATTACTGTTTGTAGTTATTTTTTCATCCCCGATTTGTTAAAAGTTCACCATTCAAGCTTGTCGAGTTAACCTATTGCCATTGCGATAACCTCCCTTTTACTTTGCAGCATTCATAGAAAATAAGAAATCCATTTGTTGAAAACTATTATCCGAATTCAGCATAAATTTCGTCGGATCATGTGGTCGGATGTTGTGTAATGATCGAATTAGCATATGTGATCAAATTAGCATACGTGATCTGCTGACTTGTATATGAGTTGTCTTCTTATTGTTAGACATTTAAATATTAAAAAACTCTATGTAATGGCGAAATTTCGTTGCTAATTGATTGTCTTGGATTGTCTCGGTTTTGATCCTAAGTAAAGTTTTATTTTCGTCGTCTCATCTCTTATTCGTCGTCAACCTAATTCCCAACGACACAACATCGTCTCATCTTCGAAAACAATGGCCAAAGGGAATGAAAAAACAAACGAATCGATTCTTGAATGAAAGAAAAACCTTGAATGCAACATTCAGTGGCGCAGCAGGATTGCCCAGATACTGAAAAACCTTCCGATTATCACCGGATTTGGTGGTCCATCGAAATCTTCTCAGTTCTCGTTCTCTATCACAACTTACCGTAATACGTGTCCTAAAAGCAGTCCAAAACATCAAATCGAGTGAGTAGAGTATCCAAGACTGCACAGGATGACTTTCGTTTTACAAAATTCAAGAAATCCCCTTCATCGCAAGTTTTCATTTATTTATCACAACAGACCCTGCTACCTTTATGTGATCGTAAATTATTGCATCATATCAAATGATTGTCATTTGTGATCACTGTATCAAGAACACGGTGATATCACCGCAATTTCATGATACCTGACAGCTTATGAAATAATTAAGATACAGTTTAGCAATGTTGATGAGTGATGTGCAAATATTTTTATCCATAATTCCCTGAATTTCGATAATGTTGGCACACTTCATTAAAAAAACAACGGAATCTAGCGAGAAATTACTTTTTTTCTAGAACATTTTTCAATGCTCGTCCACGCCACACGTCCATTCTCATTCTCAGCTGATGTAACCATAAAGAGAAATCGAATACTTCGTCCATTTGACAGGCTTCACCGCTAAATGACTATAAAATGACCACATTTACTCGCATCATTTATGATCGAACTGTAACTGCTAACGCTAGCCATCAAAATTCTCAAAAAAAGCTAAAGCAGCGTTAAGTTAAATATTTCCTAACAATTAAACGGAACTGAGTTGTCACCAACAAAAAAAATCCCAACGATTTGATCCTTCTTACTCGAAAAAATCGAAATTTAAAATCACCTATTACAAGAAAAGTTCGGCTACTTCATGAACGTTCAATATTAAATATTCATTCGAAACATCATACGGAATAATCACTATCAAATATTCATACAAGTAGTAATTCTCCAAATGAAATATGCTCAAAAAAAGGCGAACATATTCATTCAAATGAAGACATTTATTACAAGTTATTAAAAATATCTGCAATACGTCCATCAAAGAGTTGGCAAATATTAGGAAAAACGTGTCAATAAATGTGAGAAACCAACCGGAGAGGTCATATCATATTCACGTCGATCATCCAATCCGAACATCAGTTTCAAAGCAAACAATATAAGAGCGATAGCTTTCACTTCGGGTGTTGGAATAACAGATTGGTAACTAAAACAATTTTTTGAACTTACGAGGATAAAGAAACTCATGGGCAAAATGTTTCTGGAATGGAGTTGAACTAAGAGTACTGGACAAAACCCGCGAAGAAACATTAATTTACGAGGGAAGATCAAACGAGGGTGATTCTGAGCAGTACGCTAATGCATTCATACAGCATAAATATTGTGGCCATCGGCATCGTTCGCCTAACTTTTCAATCAGTTTTTTCTTTGATTAGGACGTTTGTATGGCGAGGATATGTGCATTGCATAATGACAACAATACAAACAAATCACTCAAACAACCTACACATTACATTCACCAGCGTCATGCGTTGTCCATTTCTTTTCTTTATCGCATTCAAAGCCTTTGTGAATGGAGAAAAGTGATCCAGTGCCAGATGAATTCAAAAGAATTGACGAATTAAAACGACCGAATCGTACGACGGATTGCTCAGACAGATCAATGTTCGGTTTGACATGTACAATTAATGCTTGAACACGCTCAGCGAATACAGATGGTAGATTCAAATTGTGACAAAACCGATAAACCAGCTGAAAGAATATTCCTGCATGATTGTCATTGTCATCGCCATTAGCACCATTAATACGACTAATATTATCTTCATAACATTTGAATACGCAATCGGTACTAAGGACATACGCGAGGCATGAAACATAAGAATTGGTCCATGAGAATTTCAAATATTTTACAACAAAAACTTAATATCTTCCTGAATTTTGTCAGCTCACAACAAACTGCAGCAATGAAAGCGATTCAATTCAATAATATTCATTCGATTTGAGCATGCAAAACAAATAAGATATGATTTGGTGACGAATAACAAATGAATGCTAGTCGTGGAACACCATTCAATGAATTTCCCTGACTGATCAATCAATCCACCTGATGAAAATCAATACTTATCGGTCGCTCAGGTATTTGCGTCATCTGACAAACGGCTAATACGAAACGCATTGCTTCCGACAGACAAACAATCTGAAGATATGAAAACAAAACAATATCAACCACTTGATCCAAACATCTGAAGAATGAACAATTAGAACTTCTCATCGTAATTCTAAATGGTTTCTATCAGTTTTGTTCAGGTACGTTTCACCTATACACAATAATATAACTAAAGAGGAAACAACTGGACTGCAAATACATTACGTTCTCAGTATCAAAATGTTCCAGTTCCGAACATTCGCAAATGCTTACAAGCCAAAAAAAGCCTTAAACACAAAAGAAATAACACCAATTTACGAGGGACTATAGTGCTGTTGTCAATGATTAAACATTGAATATGAGAACTGAATGAAGGAAGTCAAATAGTGAATGCTAATAAATGCAGAATACTGAATAAACATTAAACGTACAGGTTCAGTAACAAGAGGTACACCACAGTGACAAGTATCATTTGCATCATTCACTTTGACTGGTAGCAGAGCATTTCGTTGCGCGAATGATATCGGTAAGCGCCCTTCTCGGTACCACCTTCAACAAACCAAATACATCATATCTTTAGGACATAATTCAGCCAGAGGCGTACGTCACGCGAGTGATATTCCGAACAATTCAGCATTACGTTTCAAAAATGCTGAACGAAATCTTCCCCTGATGCAATTTTTTCTCTTCCACTTGCTTCTTATCATAACCTTATTGGGTCCTCATCCCAATTTTATCGTAACTGCGATTTTATTTTGTGCACAAGGATTGTGAAATCAACTGCTGTTTCGAATAAACATGAAATGGAAAACAACAACAACAACAATCTCATCGAATTCCAACTCATACAGCGATAAACCTCACCACTAATGAATCACTGCTCTAAAACTTATAAAT